CAATGCATAAGATTCTAATAAGATTACTGACATTTAGAAATGGGAAGAAAGGAGCTAAAGGTGTAGGGAAGGTGGGATGGGTAGGGGAAGAGTAAAAAGGGAAAAGAAAAAATGTGAGAGAATCAAAAGATGAAAATAAAGTGTTTGTAGATGGGGAGGGGAGGAGGGGGTGAAGGGAGGGCAGAGGTAAGGGGAAAAAATGAGAACCAAGACTTGTCATGTAGAGGTACAAGATCCCAACAATGAATGTAACTGTACTGTATCCCTAAAATGTACCAATAAACTCAATTAAAGGTGAAAAAAAAAAACTTTGGTTGGAAAGTGTGCATGACTCTCTTCTTACTGTCTAAAGTTCCTTTGTAATGCCCTCATGCAATTTTTAGAACTGCTTACTGTATGAGTTTAATTGAAAAATTATACATGAGTCCCCCAATAAGTAGACTTAGAATGATATTATCAAGATTATCTTCAATAATTAGTTGTGACTATTTGTGCTGTGTCAAGGAACATTTTACTCAAATGGCAACATTGAAATATTCATGAATTCTGCCAAGGTGGTGAGGCTGGGTAACTGGCATCAAATCTAGACTCAGAATTAGGAAGTCGCCCCAAATGCATGCAGCCCTTGGGCAGAGTATTGGGGTTTGAGTGTGAAAGAAACAAACGATCTAAAAAAACTGGCGAATCCATACTATCCCCCCGCAGTAACACTGCGTTGGCTTCAGTCAAGAGAGCTCACATCGTAAATGAAGGGCTGCTGTTCCGCCTATCAGTCAAAGGAGAGACCATGTGGATCTCCCCTCCCCACTCTCCCTGTTGTGACACCATTTTCCTCCAGCAAAATGCACCCTCAATGACTTTTTCCATTACCGCTCAGACTTCATTAGGTCTATGATTCCCAAGCTTTAATGTACTTGTTATCAACTCGAGAGCGTGTTAAAATGCCTAAGCAGAGGTTTTCTCACTGGGTCTGGATTACACCTAGCAGTCTACATCCGGGAAGCACTCATAACTTAAAGAAGAAGCAGCGTAGCTTGGCTCAAGGTTTCAGTCTGCAGTCAGCTGTCTCCAAGGCAGAAATGGCGTGGCGGAAGAATGTGATAGGAGGAAAGCTATCCCACCCCGGGCAGCCAGGAGGAAGGGGAGAAGTGGCGCCGGGGACAAGAACACACCCACCCTCCCAGGTCACACCCCCAGTGGCCACCTCCTCACGGTGTGATCATCCGTGGGTCAACCCACTCACGAGCATGGTGCACCCATGGCCCAGTCACCTTCCAAGAACTGGAGGCTTCGGGGGACATTTCATTCTAAACCATAATGCTTCTTGTCATCAGATACAGCTATCCACGAGCTACCCTTTGAAAAGCACAAACTGCAAAGTCCCCTTTTCTTCATAGATTCTCTTTTTCTAAGTTTTAACTACTCTTGCAACAGATAAATGTAAAAAATGAGACTGTGCATTAGAAAATTAGACCGGTTTGAATTTGAAACTTACATCTCTATTCCAATTAACCTTTGGCAAATTACTTACTGTTTTTAATATTGAGGCATTGGCCCCTCCTGTTGTAGTAATTGTCGTTGCCTTTATCTGCTATTCTCAGGGACCCTTGCCACCCTTGTGACATACGAACAGCTCCTATTATGAGTCTTATGTGTGACAAAATCTTTCGTGTACTTAGCTGTTTAGGATCACACTAGACTTACCGCCTAATAATCACTGCAGACACTTTTTTCTCTAGCTTTAGAAACATCATTGTTTTTTCTCTTGCTGTCTCTCTCTCCCCTCTTATTCTTCCCCCTTCCCTTCTCATTCCTACTCTGATATTTATTGTTAAGACTCCAATATTCCCAAAAATATCATAAAGACTCCATATGCAACCTCTTAGATTCAAATCTGAAATCTTGTTTCTAGAGTTTTTCAAGGATTTGTAGTCTGTCTTTAGGTTCATAGAACTACAGTCACTTTATTGAAACAAATTTTTAAAGGCTGGTTCAAGTGAATGCTCCTTATCTCCTGCTTCTATCCTTGATCTTCCTGGCAGTCCCATAAAAAGAATACTACCCTAAGTGCTTCTACCAGTTTACAGACCCTGTGTCTGCATCTCTATTTCCTGCTGTATTTTTAAGCACTGTATTTATAATGTTGGCTTTTAATTCAGCTTGCATACTATGAATTGGTCTGCTTCATATTTATTGAAAACGGTTTTCATTTTTTGCATTACTCCAACAGTTAAATCATTTTTTCCATTTGTATATGGATTAATGTGCCAGGATACTGAGTAATTCAGCTAATTAAAAAGGTCTAAAGCTCATCCTGGGTAATTGATTTATGAAAGAAAAAGGAAGAGAGCTGTGACACAAATTGCAGTGCACTTTGGTGCCCTTTTGGTCTCTCTTCCCTGGGACCAGCGTGTTGCTCAGAGTCCTAGGTTGTCAGGTTCCTGGCTCACACAGACACCACCAGAATGACGCCAGCTCCTCCAGTCGGAGCCAGCCGCAAGACTCATCAAGACTAAACAGCCCATATTCTCATCTCTGCTCGCTGTGAAACTAAGAGAATACATCAGGAAAATGACTGATGAGGCCTGAAATACAATGGGTTTGCAACTCAGTTTGTGCTGCATGTCAAGCACTTAAGATAAGTGAGTAACAGGTGATAAGAAACCCAGAGTCTCGTGTCCTAACCTAAAGAAACTAATTAACTAATTTAAAATGCGAAACAATATGTTCATGGATATTATTCATTTATTCATTTTTATCCTTGATTTTAAAATTTGTACTTACCTTTAAGCTTTCTTGACGTATAATTACATACAAAATATTGCATATTGTTAATGGATACATTTTTATCTTCTTGAACACACATCCCTGATAGCATGTTTCTACAATTGAGATACCAAACGCATCCATCACTTCCAACTTTCCCTTTGTTTCCTGTTTGTGTATGTGCGTCGATATGTGTGTGTGTGTGTGTGTGTGTGTGTGTGTGTGGTAACAACACATACCATGAGACTTTTCTCCTTAGTATATTTCCAGATACAGAAAACCATATTATTAACTATAGGCGCTATGTTGTACATTTGAGCCCTAGGACTGATTCATCTTGCATAACTGAAACTTTATAACCATTAAGCAAGCCAGTTACAAAAGGACAATATTTCTTTTTCTTTATTTATCTCTTTTTGGGGGGTAGAATTTCAAAACGCTGCATTTGTATTATTTTCTATGTGTACCTGAAGGCTACTGTACGGACACTAAGACAGGTATGCAGTAACAGAAAAGAACCCACTGAGATATCTTTCCTAAAAGATAAGGCCATTTAGGGGTCAGGGATTTAGCTCAGTGGTGGCACCATCTGCCTCGCAAGCACAAGGTCCCAAGTTCAATCCCTGGTACAAAAAAGATGAAGCCATTTGACAGAGAAATGTTAACATAAGTAAAGGATATTTTTATTTAGGGTAATACAGTAAAGGGAGTCATTATTGGTCATTGGAGAGATGCAGATGAAAACAACACTGAGATTCCACCTCACCCCAGAAAGAATGGCTGCTACCACGAAATCAACCAATAACAAATGCTGGCAGGGCTGTGGGGAAAGAGGAACCCTGCTCCAGTGCTGGTGGGTGTGCAGACTGGTTCAACCACTGAGGAAATCAGTATGGAGACACCTCAAAGAATTAGGATTGGAAGTCCCATTTTGTCCAGCTATTCCCCTCCTGGGTATCTTCCCCAAAGAATTAGAAGAGTCATACCACAGTGATATAGTTGCACCCATGTTCATAAGGGCACAACTTGTGTTAGCTAAAACTTGGAAGCAGCCCAATTGCCCATCAACAGGAGACTGGATAAAGAAAATGTGGGTTTTTTTTGTTTGTTTGTTTGTTTGTTTGTTTTATAGAATGGAGTACCACTCACCCATAAAGAATGAGAAACTAGAGACATTTATAGCTAAATGAGTGGGCATTGTGGCCATACTCTTAAGTGAAATAAAGAGGATGCATATGTGTAATTACCAAATAATTTCTCTAGTGTGAGAAACTGAAAGTGTAAATAAGGACTACAAGGTATAATAGATAATGTGAAATGGGAATAAAAGGTGCAAAGGGGAAGGGGAAGTGGGAGGGGCGGGGAAAAGAAAGGGGAATGGAATTAGTACGAGAAGAAGAAAAACGGAAACAAAGTCTTTGCAGATAAGGAGGGGTGGAGGGGTTGAAGGGAAGGCAGGGGAGTGGGGAACAAATGAGAACCAAGATGGATGATGTAAAGTTGCAAAGAACCAATGACGATTGTTATTATATTGCATACATTTAATGTACCAATAAAATTAATTAATTTTTAAAAAGGAAGTACTTATTGGACAAAATAGTCATGAAGTTGAGTAAGTTTAAACATAAAATATATCAAACTCACTGTGATGAAATACAGCAGAAACTTTAAGGCTAAGGGCATAATTATTTGGTCTAGCGCTTGTGTTTGAACTTTCCCTCATCAACTCGATAGAAATATGGTAAACTTTAAATCAAGAAATTTCGTTTAAATGTGATAATAATACTGCAATTACGTTTTGATTTATTTTACTTATTGTTATTCCATTGAGGTATAGTTCACAACTGAATTATGTATATGTGCAGGCTGCAGGATTTGGTGATTTGAGAAATATAAACACTGTGAAATAGTCACCATAATCATCCTGATTGACATATACCTTGCCTCACACAGCTACTGCTCTCTTTCTCTGCTTTTTGGCAAAAACCCAGGGATTTCTGCCCTCCTAGAATGCTCCAAGCGTATAGTAAAGTGCTGCTGGCCACGTTGCACACTGCTATACGTTAGGCCTCCGGGACCTGGTCCTCCTGTGCCCCCAGACCAACATTTTCCCATCCCTCCACCTCTAAGACAAAGGTTTCAGCTATTTATGTAACAGGTTTGATGGGATTCAAGTTCCCACAAGGATGACTGGAAGAAAAGCTCACTTTTCAGGAGATGCACCATTGGGTCCATGAAGAGTTCTGGCCCCACATGAGAAGTTGCACTAAACCCCCAGGGTGACAGGGACTGCAGAGCCACACTTGCCGTTTCTCCTGCAGGCCACTGCCGCTACTGATCTGTGGGGGACTCAGTACCTGAAACCACCTTCCTGGGCTCATCTGGACTTGGTCTTCTCCAGTTGACCTATGACCCTTCCCCTGAGAGCTTCCTCCACACCCTTCCTCCATTAACCCCATATGGCCCCAACCTTCCTCTGGATAGCATTAGTGTCTTCTGCTCAGAAGTGCGGCACGTGGCCCTGGACAGCAGCCACCCCTTCATAGCGTGTGACCTGTTTGTCTCTGATTGGACTGTGGCCTCTCAGAAGGCAGAGGCCAGCTGGCTGTGTCCTCGTGCACCTCTGGTCTCACCAGCATGCCTTGGGGTGTGCTGCTCTACTGGAGCGCAGTGCACCCCAGGCTGCCATGCACCCTCTGTCTCTGCCCCCGTTCCGCAGCCTCCATCTCTCTCTCTCTAAAGTACACTGGGTGACTGTGCAGGAATGATGACAGGCAGCCTTCTTGTGGAAGAGTCTAAGAGCAACCAGTTCCCTCCGGTGATCAGACATACGGGGCTGGCCCCATCCCATCTGCACCGACAGAGACGGCCACCAGAGCTCCAGGGCGTGGCCCTAGAGGCCTGTGTCTGAGCTGGGCAGGCCCTGGGCTTGGGTAAGCAGGATGTGTGGACCTCGGCTTGGACTTACTTCTGTGCTTTGGCCAGGAAGCTGTGGCCGTGAGGCTGGGTGTCAGAAGCCTTGGTGGCCGATCAGTCCCTGAGTCCATGCAGTGCATGGAACAAACCTGTGCAGCTCACGGTTCCCATACCCCTAACCCAGCTGCAACCAGGGCTCCTTTCAGACACCATTTGAGGTTCAAATGGAGCCAGCATCAAATGTCAGTAGGGGCCTACCCGTGGGCAAGTTCCAGTGTCTGGCTGCTGGCACCTCACTCTCTTTCAGGTAACTTTTAATATAATTCAAGAAATAGAGTTTTTTTGTTTGATTTTGGTTTGGGTTTTGTTGGTTTTTTTTTCATGAGGGCTTGTAGTTCTCTTTTCTTTTTGGAATATCCCACTGTTTTACATCACTGGGAGGGGAAAAACAATGGTTAGACATAATTCATTTTTAACTTAGGCATTCTGATCATGGCTCAATGCAAAAAAAGAAAATCATTTTGCCTTTTTGGCAGTAAATGAATCTGAGGTCTGGCACATGAGTAACTGTCTCCTAGGAGAACTCAGTATACACTGTTGCCATGGAGACCAGCTCATCAGCCCTCTCTGCTTGAAATGATTAGTGTAGATCATCATCAGTTAAGGTTTGTTTGGAGGGAAAGAAAGCCTATAAATACATCGCCCAGCTTCACAAGCTAGGACAGAAGTCCTGTGCTCCAGGGTGGCTTGGGATGCATTGACTCTTGGGTGGGAAGTCTCCTGTGTGGTCCCCTTCGATCTCCTCTTGCACCAGAGAGGAGGTGGGGAGCTTTGGTGCCTAGGAGAGAGCAGGCAGCAGTCACCTGGGGTGGGGGGCTCCTCAACACCATAGCCTGGCAGGAAGCTGCCTCCAGACATGGCCTGTGCCCTCCTCTGCCCAGGCGTCACTGAAATTTTCAAAGGGTGGAGAGAGGCCCAACCTGTGCCCAAGATGCTCTAGCATCAGCTTCAAGAAAAAAGCACACAACGTTGTTTTTCACTTGGATTTCTGATAGGCACTTTTGACATCATAACAAGAATCACCATCGGAACAGTCAGGCAGTCACACCAACTGTGTCCACTGCTCACCGACTTTTGTCCTTTGAGAAAGAGCGGCACGTGGCAGGCCGTGGAGACATTAGCTCGGGGCCTGGGAGGCTGGGAAACAGGGCCAAGTCCACTCCTCCTTCCTGCCGGGCCTGGCTGTGTGGGAGAAGGACAAACACCAAGGAATGTCTGCGTGGACTGGGCCTAGTGAGACCAGAAGCTGCAGGAGCTGACTGCAGAGCTACTCCTGGGCAACTGGTAAGAAGGCAGAAGGAAGGGGAGAAAGTGCTGGGGGACGGTGTCAGGGAGTGGATCATTCTCTAGCAGGCAGAGATGCAAGATCATCTCCAGATCTGGCACAGCTGATGCTCGGGTTTTACAGATAATATCAGGAAATGTGTTTTCTGACACCTGCTTTAATTTGTGAGAGGTGGGACAGTGGTGATGCTTACATGTGACACCTCTAGCCCTTCTGCCGGGTGTTTAGGGGAAGGTTTGCCCTTGCTTGCCCTTGTCCTGCATGCCTGAGATGGTAGATCATGTCCTGCTGTCACCTGCTCTTCTGTGCCCTCTCCAGACGATCAGTCACGTAAGGCCACCCACCGTCAGGCACACAGACCTGGCTTCTCGTGGGCTAGCGGTGGCTGTGGCTGCTTTCCATCTGGCTTGGCTCATGGCAGGAAGTGCCTGGTGTGACTTACCTCTGTGCTGCTTCCCTCCGGTCACCATCGCCCACCCTTTAGTGCCAGCTATTGAATGGGTCTAGTGGGCTCGCGGGACAGGCCCAAGAACCTCAGTGAACAAAGGACCCAAGGGAACCTGGGTGGCTGCCTGGGCTCCAGAGAGTCTGTCCCACCTCTGGGGCCACACTGCTGGCACAGGGGGCCTGCTGCAGCTGGACACCCAGCCCCAGATGCAAATGGCTTGGCCCCACACCCAAAGCGGCCAGCCTAATAGGAAACGAGTGGGGAGTCGGGAGCAGGGTGAGAGCAGATGTTCTGGGTGGGAGCGTCAGTGGCAAAGGTCAGTGAGTGGCCAGGTGGCCAGGTCCCTCGTCCTGAGGGCTGCGTTCTGGGTGGGATGGTTGGCGGGAATTCAGCAAGGGATCTTGGAGCATTTAGATTTCAAAGGAGAACTTTTATTCCGGAAGAAGCTGGAGGGAGAATGGAACTGAACTTCCTAGGAGAAAAGATGGCCCAGACTCAGCATGGTGGCACAGGCTGAGAGATCCCTCCTCCGGGCAGCTGTAGCAAGGTCCCGAGACGGGAGGGAATGGATGGGGCTCAGCAGAAAGTGGTATCATGACAGCATCAGCCCCTCGGGTACCAGAGCTTTCGTCCGAAATGCAGATCCCAGCGCGAGGCAGGCTGTGCATCCAACCGCAAGCACCCTCTCAGTCTGCCGGGTGTGCTGCGCAAACATCACCTTCTGTGAGCGCCGTGAAACACGGAGGGCCGGGTCAGCCAGCAGCCCTCAAGCCCCCGGGCAGAGCACCCCAGAAGGCTGCCCCCAAGGGCGGTGAGGGCTTCCAGGAGCAAAGAGGGAGCAGCAGGTGGACGCGACCCCTGCACTTCTCCCAGCCACTTGGAGAGCACGAGGCGTCACACCAGAGATGTAAAGGACCCTCAGGGAGAGGCCTTCTGCCCATCCCTTACCTTAGAATTTCTCTGACGTGTTTGACCCTGAGGCCACTGTTTCCTGCAGCGGGACGCCCATTCCTGCTCTGGCACTGTCATTAGCAAATTCACTACAGGGCAGAGGGCTCCTGAGGGAATAGAACAGAGAACGAAGAAGAAGAGAGAAGCCTGAGGTGACAGGGGGTGAAATGACGGAAAGAAAGCTTCTCCAGAGTGAGCAAAGACGGACTCCTAAAATGCATCCATTTTCACAGCCCTTTCTCTCCTCATGCCCTTTGTTCCCATAGTTGTGAGGCAGATGGGGCAGGAATTATGAACCACTCAGGAAGGACACAGATGAGCTCGGGACATGGAGCAGCCGCCAGAGAGGTCCAGAGAGAAAGGTGGCCTTGTGCTGGCCTCGCTCTGCCATGCTGAGACCCCGCAGCGACATTCTCCATGCCACGAAATCCCCGCGAAAGTCACTGACCTGAAAGAATCAGCATTTGCTCGTGTGAACAACATAACTCTTGGCCTAGAAGATAAACCCACAAAACATCGTCACAAAAGGTAATGGAGGGTGGCAGTGAAAATGCTGCCTGAAACCGAGCTTTCACAGTTACAATAGAAAACACTCAGAGATGCCTTTCATGCAATAAGGGTGCCAAATAACAGTGCTCTCACTGAAATTTATTTCTCAGCTAATTGAGCAGAATAGCCTCATCGTTCACAGAAGGAATTTTTAGAAATCGCTGCTTTAATGATTTCATCTCCTGTGCTCTAGTGTTCACCTGGTGTAAAAATGGTCTCGTTCAAAGCGGTGGGAAATGCTGTTTCCTCCACATCCCTGATACCATTGTTGCCATGGTAACTAATGTGCTTTAATGGGAGCAAAGCACAGGGAGATTAACATGCAGTAATAAAAGTAAAAGGGATAAAGTATCACTAGGGTGAACAAATACAAAACTAAAAATAGGCTTAGATGAGGTGCTACTGAGTTTATTAATATAGATTTACAAAGACATGCCAAATCCGTGCTTCAGCTGCCCATGACTGATGCCAGTAACAAACCATCCTTTATAATAATAAGATGTTACTTCCGTTTTTTTCTTCAGAATCCAGCTTTCCGAATTAATACACATTTGTATTAATTTTCTTGAATGAAGCAGCTACAAGTTCAGAATATTTCCTCCACTCATACTTCCTACAGCTTAAGTCAAATGTAATTTCTTCACTGGTAAACAACCAGATTTATCTTTCTGGCAGTGGCTAAGGGGCAATCTTTACACTAAGCTTAAAAGCAAAAATGAAAATTAGTCTCACAAATAGTGCCGAAGGGTAAAAGGTGAAAAAAGTAAGCTCCCAAAAGGAGTGAAATAAGAACAAAGCAAGAGAAGAGGTAGCAGGAAGAGAGAATGCCGGAGAAACCTTTTGAAGGACTTCTTATCCCATCTAGAATGTTCTGACACGTGCTGTAATCAGGGCCAACCCTGAGCACGCTGCACTAAATGAAGAATCTCGCCGTGATGGAGACACATGGCCTGTGTCTATCTGTGTACCACATGCCTGGCGTGGTCAGAGCCACAGAGCCAGAGCGTGGCAGCCAGGAGCTGGGGGAAGAGCAGAGTGGGTTGGGGCTTCAGTTTCGCAAATTTAAAAGAGTTCTGCAAATGGAGGGCCAGTGATCACACAAAAGTATAAATCTGCCTAACAGGGGATAAAGTGTCAGTCTTGAACATCTTAACATTTCAGGTTCTCCCACAATGGCGGCAGCTCAGCCCACAGCCTTGCTGCTGCACTCTGCCCCATCCTCTGCTATGAAGACTTTGTCCTCCATTGATGGTGAGCACAGACCAGAGCGTCCACATTGTGTAGCTTCTGAGGCAGACTCCCGCCCTGGGATTCTTCACTTTCATCCTCCAGGCTGCCAGAAGTCTCTCTCCTCCAGTCCTGCTCCAAACTTCTCCCCCTAGGATTGGCCTCATTTTGTAGCAGGGCTGGTTTCTCCCTCACTGAACTCTTCCCCAATCCTGGCTTTTTTCTCCATCTGGACTGAAAGAAAGGTAAGAGCATGCCTTTGCAGTATCTGACAAGCCCAGAGTTCTGTGTGGGCAAATAAGCCACTCTGTAAAAACTGAATGTTATTCCCTTCAAATATTCTCCAAGACAAGGAACCTCCTCTTCCTGAACATCAAAGAACAGCAAATGTACGAATAAATGCAAAATTCCTTCTTAAACCTGCTCTGATTTCTGAGATGCTGTCAATGCCAACTAAAGCTTGTGGACTGGTCTCACTGTGAAGATCGGTTTCACCATGTTTCTATTCAAGTAACTCCAGTGGATTACTGTCTCAGTCTGTCTTCTGTTGCTGTAACTGAATATCATAGACTGGGAAATTTATGATGAATAAAGTTTCGTTCTTCCAGGCTGTAAGGCCAGGAGGATCAAGGTAGTAGAGGATTTGTGTCCACAGATTCAGAGGTGGGCAGAGAGCCCTGAGTCTGGAGGGACACATCCGACAGCCAGAGCCAGACTAGCTTGCATAAGACCCACCCTTGAGGTCCTTCATGAAGCCAAACCCAGCCTTCATGACTTAATCAGCTCTGAAATCTCACCTGGTCCCAACTCCTCACCTCTTAAAATAGAGGTTAAACGTCAGCATGAGTTTGAGTAACCATAGTAAACACCAAGAAAAGCCCTGCTCCATATTAGACCTTTTCGCCAAAAGAAATCTGCCCAAGTGGTGAGAGAAACCAGAAAAAGAAATCTGCTACACTTCTGTTTACTGGAGATAGACAGGTTAGAAATAAGGAAGAGTCAAACTGTAGGTTAACACCAAGAGTACCACCCGGTAACTTCTGCTGAGAAACTCCCCGCAGAGGGATGGACTGTCATTTTTGTCTTCACAACCTGCAGACAGGAGCAGGATATGATTGTCCCTATTTTAGGTATTTCACACAAAAGACCGTGCCTCAGAAAAGTGCAGCAACTTGTCCAAAACTGCACAGTCAGTAAGCGAAAGAGTCTGGATTCCAACCCAGGTCTCCCATTCTTTACCTTCTGCCCAACTCCAAGGGTTCCTTGGGTTGTCACTCTCGTGAGTAGATGAGAGTGATTTCCAACTAGCACACCAACCTCTCTAAGGAGATTCATGCTTTCCTCCAAGAGGGGCTTCACGTCAAATTCTGGTAGGTAGGGCTCGGTGCTCAGCTTCCTCCAGGGCCTCGGGGGCCAGGTCTGCTCCTTGCCATCAGGGTCACCCCAGGCCCTGTAGTGCAGGAGAGAGCTAGTTAGACTGACGGCCCGCGTTTCAGCCAACCAGAAGAGCCGGAAGCATGGATCGCCACCCTTCTTTTCTGTCCTCTCAACTTGATTGATTCTGGGCGGTTTTCCAAATGAGGGGTAGAGTTCCTGGCATCAGGCTCCCAGCCTCCACGGAGGGGTGGAGCCATCCTGGAGCTGCTGTCTACCCCGAGTCCTGGAGTGGGACGGACTCCCCTGGAGAAGCTGTGCGTCAGACCCCTGCGCTGCATCTCAAAAGGGTTATTCCCTCCACCCCTGCCTGCCGCCATTTTCTAAAAGCAGGGAAAATGAGATCCTTCCTTCCTGGAACTGATAGACAGGTGGAAGGAGTTAATACTTCCATACAAGACAGTATCCGTAGACACTGCCTGTTGATATATTGCTGGGAATCCTATACAGCTTCCTTACATTCATCCGCTGTTTTGAATTTGAGAATCGACTTTGCTGACTGTGGAAACCCTAATTGCCCATGGGATGGTATTTGCAGCAGGAGTCTTTCAGAGGTGACTACTTCATGAGGATGGAAGCTTTGTGAATGGGATTTGTGCACTTAGAAGAAGAGATGAGAGAGCTTGCTTCTACCTCTGAGGACACAATGAGAAGACAGTTGTTCGCACCCAGAAGGGGGGCCCTGCCCCTGCCCTGCCGGTTCTTTGGACTTGTGGCCTCCAGAACTGTGGGAAATAAACGTCTCTTGATTAAGCCACCTAATCTATGACATATTGTCCAAGACAGGAATAAGAGAAAAAGGAAAGAGGAGAGGGAGGGAAAGAGAGAAAGAAGAACACGTTACTCAGAAATCACTTCTTTCTGGGAAGCTTTTAATTTCACTCAGAGTGCTATGCTTTAGAACACAGATAGCTTATTCTTTGGGGTCACCTTAAAGATGGCCTCCTTTGCAGGACATTACAAGGGCAGCCCCAGCTTCCAGGGCTGAGCCAAAGGGTGCCTGCCCTGTGAGGCCAGCCTGGAGCCAACAGAGAAATCCTCACCTGGGCTGGCACTGCCCTCTAATGTGCCTAGGGGTGGGGGCACCAGCCCATCCTTGGGGCATTAGCAGACCTCCTGCTGGCACCAAAGCTGTGTAAATGAGTACAATAACATTAAGGAAAAAAACCGACATCCTGGGGATGGTGCCAGTGATCAGGGCACTATAATTGCTATAATTAAAAGCAAATCTAACACTGCAGGAAAAGTAGGTCAGTCATTGGCTTGGTGCAGTCTTTGATGAGAGTGGGGAGCAAAAATTAAAAAGCGAAGGTAAACAAGTTTCTGCAGCAGTTGAGCAAGAGATGGTTGGGGTCCCACACAGTCATGCCTCAGGGAGCTACTGGGTGTTGAAAGTAACTCCACCGTGCACCTGAGCTCACACAGTCTTCTGCGAGTGCAGAATTCTAAAGGGGGAGGGGCATTTCGTTCCGGATCTTATTCAGTACTGTCTTTGATTAGGTAATAAACACACTGATCCGAAGACAAGCTCAACTCTTCCCTAACTGGAGGCAACCACCTCAGCAGGCCACGCGGGGAGCGCAGGGCACCTTCTCTCCCTAATTGCTTCATCCGTCTTCCATCTCCAGGCACCTCAGGTGTACAGGATCTTATTTCCTGTGCAGTAGCAAGCACAGGCAAAGTGCCCAGTGAGATCTCGACTGTGCACACAGAAAGTTCAACCCAAAAACACATCAACTGTGGAAATTGAAAAGAGCTGCCAAAAGGAACTGGGAAAATAGGCTCAGATTTTGGAGCCCCCTTCTTGGATTTCCCTTTCAGGGGGACAAGTCTGCATAATGGTTAAAGGGGGAGCTTTATAAACAAACAGAAGGGGTCACAGTTCCACCCCTTCACTCTCTCACTGAGCTTGGACCAGTCCTTTATTGCGTGAATTTGATATATTTCCAGCAAATGTATACAATAATAATGACACCGTATACACAAACCTCTATAAAATAGTTTGTGAAGATCCTGACACCTTGTTGTATCCAATAAATGGAAGCAACGTCGATATTCCTCCTGTTTCCTGGAATGCCCCGTTTCTGCAGCTGCCTTTTCCCCTCAGACAAGCCCAGCTGAGGATGGTTTAGGAGCAGGAAAAGCCCACTCCCCTCGAGACAAGAAACAACAAAAGCAAAAACCCCCACCTTCTCAATGGCCCCATGTTCAGGAGCTACTGAGAAAAAGAAAGCCAGAGTGGAGCTGCTGGCTCCCCAGCAGCCATACATGAGTTGCTCAGAAGAACCCACATACTTCCCAGGGGTCGGACACAACTGCCAGGCTGAGTCCACCCCCTGTCCGGCCAGTTTGTGAAAATGTTTCTGTTTTAAAGTGAATTCCTCCTGAAGGAGTAAATTCCTGTTTTCCCTGAGTGACAAGCGCCCCTCCTTCCTTGTCTAGTGAGGCCTTTTTGCTGTGACTGTCTCTCATCCTAGTCACTTGCGAAGAAGCAGCTGGGGGACATTGAGGGGGAAGTGAGGGTGGGTGAGGGGATGGAGATGCTCAGATCCCTAGACCTTGTATGGCGACACAAGCAAGGAGAGCAAACAACTCATGGCATTTTCAAGTATCCACGAGGAGATAATTGTACGAAAATAATTACTAGATGGGAGTACTCAGTACTCACCACACCTTTCCTTGAGGCA